TTAAGGAAAAGGACAATGCTGTGTTCATCTTAGCAGATGTCAGTAACTATGAAATGTTACAGTTCTACTAAAGTTTTGAAGGGGATTTTGACAAAGCTGAGTGTTAAAATGTTCTTATGTTCTGCTTTCAAGGAAACTTCTACCAAGATGTCCATCGAAAATGAAATTAGCTTACCGGCAACTCCCCGGCTCATCATGCTTGGTAAGATATTGCTACACTACAAATGTTAGTTTTGTACTTGGACATAAATTTACAGTGATTCTTCATATTTCAGGCGAGACGTTGCTGACTTCGTCCAAGTGGTTTATCAGTATTGAGGGCAGAGTAACACATTCTATAGAAGACCAGCTGGACTTTGCAGCGGCGTTGTCTGTGTTCTTTGGGTGCTTCTATGTTTTTAATATCGAGTACCAGGAGTCAGCCAGCACCACCCTGGAGCTCATTCAGAGGTGAGTGTTGAGGATACTCATCCTGTTTGACTTTTTTTTTTTGTTGATCTTACTCCCTTTCTTTTGGTATTTTACTTTGGTCTCTTTTGGATCAGAAATACTTAAGCTTATGGAAATAAAATAGTTTGTGGATGCATTTTCGTGGTGACTAACTATATACTGTAACTTGCTATTAAACTTGATTTCTGTTGATAAATTATACATTATTCACCAGAAACTATTTAATGCTTTTAACACTATTATTAACACTAATATAATCATTTAAAGGCAGGGTAGGTGATTTGGTTCAAAAACATTTTTTGTTATGCTTTTTGAAAGTCTCTTGACATCCCAATAGCTATCACTAAGTTAAGTGGTCTAAATGTATTTATATGTATTTTTATCGTCTGTGGAAGGCATAGGACCATAAAATGTTCATCCAGTCATATCCTTCGTTCTGGGGGCTATGATAGGTTGTCCAACCTGCCTGTTAATGTATGTATTTGCATACCTATGCACACCCTGTTCGCACAGACATGATACATCATCAGCGCGTTCCATTATGCTATTGCAGGCCGAGCGAGAATGGAAGGCGTTATTGTAATATTATGCGCTTTGTACTGTAATGTTTTCTCACCGGTGAATGCGACATTAAGTAATCTGACAGCGTTGCATTCAATCCTTCACCAACGCCATCTTTCAGCGTGTCGCTGGTTAGCCTCTGGTCTGCCTGTGTGCGTTCATGTGTTTTGGAGGAGGCGTGGCTTTGGAGAGTGATTTGCTGGGAGGGTGGGATCTTATGCTTTCAAAGCTAGCTTGCTATTGCTAGCCTCTCTGAAATCTACCTTTAAGAGGACTAGATAAACAAGGTTATGGGTCCCTGTTTAGGGTGTGCTGCAACTTATATAAGATAGCAAACCTATTATACCCCCTTTTAAACTGTTTCAGTGACTGACATAGTTGTAGGCCTTGCGAAATTGATGTTTTGTTTAAAAATTGATCTACTGTTCTTTAGGTTTTTCGTAAGGATTAATCCTGAGGGGACTAAATGTACCTCAAAATCAGGTACAAGCCGTAGGACGGGTTCAGCTGTCCAAAGGAAACCCCAGAACTTTAATACCCGCGTGGCTACGTTTATGCAGAGGCTTTCAGAATTCGAGTGGAAAACATCCAATTAAGTAAGTGCAAGCAGTTTTATGAAGTTGAAAAAAATATTTTTATGGAATTTTTAAGTGAAACTTGTCTTTTGTTATTGAAGGTATGTGATTAAACACTTAAATATAACTATGGGACATATGAGGGGTGTTCTGAGAGTAACAGTGACTTTAATCAAATTTTTTTGTGTGTTTCAGGATTGTCTTCATCCTGGCCCTGCACTGAATACTACTACTACTACGATGGGTTACTACTTATGTGAAAATTTGTTACCTTGTGATACCTTAACTTCTTTTTTTTTATTTATTTTTTTTTACCTTGAATACTTGTACTGTTCTATTTGAATGTTGCTGGAATGTTTGTATTATAAATATTTTATTACGTTCATTTAAGTAATTCGTGCAACAATAAAAAAGTATCAACTAATGTGTTTTTATAATATGATTAATAAGGATAAAATGATTACAGTGATACAATATACTAGTGATACACTAGCTACAAGTAGATTGTTTTTTAATATTTTTTGACTGTAATTGAAACAGTACTGTAATTTTTACTGTACTGTATTACCTGCTGGTAAAAATCGAAAAGTCTTAAAAGTGTACCTTTTGGGTGACCAAGTACAATTAAATGTACAGAGACAAACCAAAAAACAAACCTATGGAATATCTGCACAGGGACCCAGCCTAATTTGAACCCTGATGAGTTTTTTCCTCAGTAGTGTGAATTTCAACACTTTTTGTACCATAGAACGTGGTAAAAGCTGTGCTTACCAATGTTACATAGACCACTAGTGCGGCTTGTTGAGGAGAGGCGTGATATTTACTAAGACTCGAAATTAATATTTGTCTGACAGATGATAAATTGGATGAAAGAGCCTTACAGACTTACCTTAAAAGAGGGACTCATGTCAAATTTAGAAATAAGAATATCAAAGAGAGATAAGTGGGCTTGTTTGATGTGGGCCAGAGAGCAACTACAGAAAACCCTAGCAGCCACTTACTATATATCTTCAGAGTGTGCCAGCAACAGTTTTAGTCATTTTTTTAAATAAAAAAAAATTATTCCAATCAGAACACTCACACAGATGCACAGGGCCAATGTACTATTGGCCCTAACCGATTTGGATGCGACCAATCAAAATGTGTAAATCATGTGTGCTCTCTACACGATGGTTTACGGTAATCCATCCCATGATCCTATTCTCCAAAATGCTAGATATGCTATGATTCTATCCTCAGAAATAAACTGAATAGTGTTGAGAATATAAAAGCAGCTCTACGCAGAGACTATAGCGATCTGTCAGACAGAACGACGGGTGTGTACAATATAACGTTACATCACTAATAAATGGTCCCGTAAGCGACGGACATAATGAATACTGGTGATTTTCAGACGCAGTTAACATCCATAATGGAAATGCTGGCAAAAACAGCTGTTGTTGAAATAGGCAAACTTTTCGAGGAGAATTCTTTGTTGCTGCGATTAGAGATTTCACGCTGTACAAACGAAAACGAATCTCTGAAAAAGAAATGTCATTTTTTGGAGAACGAACTTCAATGTGCGCGGAAAAGCGCTGGAAAGATGAACGGGACAGAAGCGCCATCCAGCCATCCGGGATTTACAGGTAATTGACTTATTATGCACGACAAATGACTCTGTGGTTTGATGAAAGCTGTAGGTTCAAAGCCTGCAGTGGGCGGCCCTTCATCATTGTCCCCTTGAATAAGACTTTAACCTTACTCCAGTGGGACTATTTCTGTATATGTCGATGACCGGAATCGTTTAGTCCATTCACTAAAATAAATGTATTCAGTGCCTCTTTCTTTAGGTTACATCAGAAGGCGGTGACAAGTGACTGGCTTTGTCTGTTATGACTATAGGCCCTTTCACACATACAGTCTTTACTGGTAAATTACGGTAAAATTACCATTAAGATATCATGTGTGAACAGGACCTTTATAAAAACACTGGTAAATTCGTTCTGGCACTTTACCGGTATGATAAATTGTAATATTACCAGTAAATTACCGGTAATGTGCTCTGTGTGAATGCAGAACGAGATTACCGGTATGAGCACGTACGAGTTCAGAACGCGCTGACGCTGACGTAAGACGTCTACTCTGGGCCAATCAATCATTAACATTGTCTAACAGCTGCATAAATGTTAACATTTGACACAAAAAAACGAAAACTTAAACAAAAACACCGCGTATACCCCTCCATGTTTACAAAAACACAGAAGGCGCTGCCGTTTAGAGGTCATTTCTGGTGAATGTCACAGAATTTACGGGTATTTAGAAACTGATGTGTGAATGGTCGGAACATCTTTGCCTGTGTGAACAGCGCATTTTTGTATTTACCGGTAAACTCGTTCCGGTAATTTTATGGCAATTTACTGATATTGCTGTGTGAAAGGGGCTTTTGAGCGAGTCAAGAAATCATTCACTCAGCTGATTCGCTGTAAAACCCACCTAGTCGTTCATGACCAAAACATAGGCTATTAAAATGTATACATACATATCTATTAAAAAAAATCGAACAAACAAGTGTTTTTAGTTCTTCGACCTGTCCTTGTTGTGTCAGCAGATCACAAAGTTCACAAACGAGTTAATTCAGTTCATAAACAAGACGTTTTATTCTTAACTCATGCCCTGGAGGTCCACTTTCCTGCGGAGTTTAGCTCTAGCACTAATAAAACACACATGAACAAGCTAAAACAAGGTCTACAGGATTACTAGAAAGTTGCAGGCAGGTGAGTTTGATCAAGGTTGCAGCTAAACACTTAAGTGACATTATAAAAGTGGCGCTATGATGTGACCAAAAACAAGTAATGTCTTACAGAGGCCAGACGTCCCGCAATTGACAATGTCTTCGGTAAGGAATGGTGCATGAACCCCTGGAGACACGAGGAGTCAAATGTTGGTGAGCAGGAGGACACACATCTGGACTCTTCGGTCAACACAGAAGAGGTTGGTCTCATACTTCTGTTGATATACATGAAGCAATGTCAGAATACAGTTAACTAGTTCTCAGTTTTACTTGCTCTCCTTTAGCCAGTAGATTTGCTGGATGACGAACCAGATATGATCATGATCAAGGAGGAGACATTTGAAGATTGCTCTGGGAAAAATAACCCTGAGGAAGATGAAAGTTGCAGTTTGAGAGGTTTGTGATGTGAGAACTTGAGAACAGTTGCTGTTAACTCTTTTTTTTATATTCAGATGTTCATGTGTCGTTTATTGAATTACAGGACCTACAGTGACCAGTGGTGAGAGATGTGTCGCCCAAAGCTCTGATGATTTTATCACATACATGGTACCTTCAGATGACCAAGTCCAATCGAACATACACCAGACACAAGCTGAAGAACAACCTCTTGATGGAATGATCTCTACACAAGGAGACAGCACAACAGAGCAAACTTTCCATAGTACACACGACCACACAAGTATTTCAGAAGAGAAGAGGTTTGAGTGTGTATTCTGTCGACGAACCTTCAACAAATTAACCTACCTGAAAGCACACATGCGAACACACTCCGGAGAAAAACCTTACGTCTGTACAGTTTGTGGTAAAAGATTTGCTCAAAAAACATACCTCAGAATACACCAGCGCACTCATTCTGGTGAGAGGCCGTACTCGTGCATGGAGTGTGGAAAGTGCTTTGCTCAAAAGAGCTCTCTAAATGTACACCTCCGAAGCCACACTGGAGAAAAGCCATATAGCTGCTCAGAGTGTGGTAAAAGCTACGCGTACAAACAGGGTTTCAATACACACCAGTGCTTCAGTTAGACTAGTACATACTGAAGTGAACCATTACTGAATTTGATCTGTATCAAAGTTGCTGTTACAGCACAGTGTGCATAACTCTGCAATATGTATCATTAACAAGTTGCAAGTATGTCCATGGTTCTTTTTCACAGAAATTAAGTCTTTTGACAGTGTTTGGAAACGTGTTATACAGAAGCATCTGGAGTTTTCTGTGTATTGACTTGCATGTGTATATTAATTTGAACAGAGGGATAAACAAATATGCTTGAATAAACTTGACAAAGTGAGTGAAATCATGCAAACCACTTTTTTTATTCAGCATGGTTGAAATTACACATTTGCTTACACATGCAATCTAGTTGACATCTGAACTTGAACAACTCAAACTTCTAGAAGCATTGTACGTACTACATACTACTGAAATTAGTTTCCGTAAAGATCTGTAAAGATCAAGTAGTGTTACTGGTCGCTTTACACTAATGGCCCAAAACTGATAGAACATTATAATATTTTAAACAGGGACTGTATTCAGAAAAAAAATCTTTAGCCTAAAGCCTGATACGTTTACCTCTGGTGGTCCTTTATATCTAGACTATACATTACCATTCATTAGTTTGGAATAATTTTTTTGCATTTATTTGATCAAAAATACAGTAAAAACTGTAATATTCTGAAATATTATTACATTTAAAATATCTATTTTATTCCTGTGATGCAAAACGGAATTTTCTGCATCATTTCTCCAGTCTTCAGTGTCACATGATCATTCAGAAATCATTCTGATATACTAAATTGCTAAAAAAAGTTTGTGCTGCATAAAATGTTTATGGAAACAGGATAAATTTTTTTTTCCAGGATTCTTTAAAGAATGAAAAGTTCAATATATTACTTCAGCATTAAAGTTCAGCATATAAGTATGATTTCTGAAAGATCATGTGACACTGAAGACTGGAGTAATGATGCTGAAAATTCAGTTTTGCATCAGAAATCAACTGCATTTTTTTAATATATTGAAATAGAAAAGTTATTTTTAGTTGTAATAATATTTCACAATGTTATTGTTTTTACTGTAGCTTTCATAAAATTTCTGCAGCCTTAGTGAGCATAAGAGACTTCTTATATATAGCCCAGATGTCAAAGATCACCAGAAAGGCTGTGCCTTTGGTTTAACAGAAGAAACAAATTAGTTGATGGGATAACAACTACATTACCAAGTAATACACAGCCATACCTGACTATATATTTCTGCTACGATCTACAGTATTACACACAGAGACATTCTTTTTAAGGTGCTGCAACCTCACATTTCCACGGTTCGTATTTCATTTTAAACAGCTACTGCGATCTCGAATTGAGAAATAACCAAAAGAATTGTGCTACATAAAGCTATAATTTATATCACGGTGATTTTTCCTTGGTTTCCTCCTGACTGGTTTAGCCGTTCTGTCATGGACAATGAGGTGTTGTTGGAGGGTGACTTTCTGGGTGAAACCCTTTCCGCAGGTTATACAAGTAAAAGGTCGTTCTCCTCTGTGGATGCGTTCGTGATTTCGTAGACAAACTTTCTGGGTGAAACTCCTTCCGCAGGTGACACAACTAAAAGGTCTCTCTCCTCTGTGGATGCGTTCATGAACTTGTAAATTTCCTTTCTGGGAGAAGCCTTTTCCACAAAAACTGCATTTATTGGGTCTTTCCCCTGTGTGGACCAAATGGTGAACCGAGAGATTGGTGTTAGAATGAAAACATCTCCCGCAGACATCACACCGAAACTTTTCGTTTGGTTTCAACTTTGAAAATCGATGTTTTTTGAGACGGTTTTTGGCAGCATTTTGCCGTAGAAACACCTTCCCGCCGTCATAGCAACTGAAGTTGTTTGGCGGTTTCTGTAACTTTACTCTCTTTTTGCAATGTTCTGTCGTGGTTGCAGCATCCTCATATATTTCCTGTGCTTCTCCATCCTCCTGAGCCTCAGAGGGAAACTGGCCATTGTGCTCTACTGAAAATTGGTTGAGTATAGAGTGACCATCAAATTCCAATGGATCCTCTATTGGTGCTATTAACTGGTCAACAGTGTCATCGATAGAGATTTTTGTAGAGAGTTTGTCTGATGAATCGGAGGACGCATTTTGTATTTCTGATATCTCTGAAAATTCACCAGACACAAAATGGCCATCGAAACGTTTTAAGTCTGCCAGCGGCTCATATGCAGAAGATGGCAGCTGTCCTTTTGAAGCTTGGGGAGTTTTCACTGTCGAAGTATGTAAAATAGTTCAAATCAACTTGATGCACCAAAATTAAACCTTACTAATTAAAGATCTACTAGAAATTTTGAACATTACCTGTAAAACTGGGATAAGTGTCCACTTCAAAACACTCCTCTTTGATTATGACCAGGTTGGAGTGCTCTTGTTCTTTGTGCTGTATGAGACAAAATGAGCAGATCATGCAAAAGGACATTTTGTTTTTCCATTTCATTTACACATTTCATTTCCTTTTCATTTGTAGACATAAGTTCTACAAGTCCAGAGTCATATTTAACAACCTTGAAAATGATCTAGACCAGCGATTCCCAATCTCGGTCCTGGAGAACCTCATCAATCACACTCCCTAATCAATCACACCTGATTCAACTCATCAGCTCATTAGTAAACACTCCAAAACAGGGGTCACCAAACTCGGTCCTGGAGGGCCGGTGTCCTACAGAGGTTAGCTCCAACCCTAATCAAACACACCTGAACCAGCTAATCAAGGTCTTCCTAGGTATACTTGAAACTTCCAGGCAGGTGTGTTGAGGCAAGTTGGAGCTAAACTCTGCAGGACACCGGACCTCCAGGACTGAGTTTGGTGACCCCTGCTCCAAAACCTCAAATATGTGTTACACAAGAGAGACATCAAGAACATCCAGTGTTGGGGTTCTTTGGGACCAGGACTGGGAGTCAATGATCTAGACCAGTGGTTCCCAAACCTGTCCTGGAGGACCCCCTGCCCTGCACATTTTGTATGTCTCCCTAATCAGACACACCCAATTTAGTTATTGGAGTCTCTACTAACGAGCTGATGAGTGGAATCAGGTGTGTTACATAAGAGAGACATACAAAAGGTGCAGGGCAGGGGGGCCTCCAGGACAGGTTTGGGAACCACTGATCTAGACCAATGCTTCCTGTAGGCCCTCCAACTGTGCATATTTTGAATGTCTCCACACCTGATTCAACTCATCAGCTCATTATTAAAGACTGCAAGGTCAAATTGTGCATTCAAGTCAAGTAAAAAAAAAGAATCGGCTTCATGACCGCTCAACATTGGAATTACAACTTCCCAACTTGTAAATACAAACTTTCCAGGAGGACTTGAATGCACCATATACTGGATGTTTCCAATAAGGGAGACATCCGAAATGTGCAGTGGTGGGGGGCCTCCAGGACATGTTTGGAAAGCACTGATCTAGACAAAGCTATTGTAATCTGCCACACACATCAAGTTCATGGGTCCATAAAAAAAATATAATAGTACAGTACTAAATTTTCAAATGTTGTTAACATTCTTAGCACTATGTATCATCTCCCATCATGATCATCTCCTGACAAATTAAACGCACCCCTAAAAATGACTTTAAAATGATTATTCAAATTGGGCAGATTTGGTGTCCATATGGTGCAGCAGGACAGCTCATTCTCTACGGTTCATAGGACCACTAAAACTGTTACAGTAAAAATGATCAAAATTTGCATCTTGAAGCTTATTGAAATATTTATAATTCCAGTATAATTTTTCTTATGTACCCTTTGAAAGTAACCGATGATCTGCTTTAAAACACGACTGCGATTATTTAATTTACAACTTCATTTTACACCTTTACACATGCAGCATAACGCATGCAGTCTATTTACATTTCTTACTGTAGGCATGCAAATCTTTTGGGCATTATTTTCCCTAACGGATAGCTTATGAAACACCAGTTTAAATTTGGGGTGAACTACTTTAAGGGAATGTAGGGAACCTTATAAGGCGATAGACTGTACAGGTCGACATCGATCGCCAGCTCATCTTCTCTGGACTCGTTCCTCCGATCCCACAAACTGGAACACCACTCCTTTCCAAATATCCCTTTTATTGAGGGCTGCGCTCCTGTGAGGAGCAAAATATGCAGATACGTTACAATCAGAGTAGTGCACTGGCCGGTGAACATTTTCAAACAAAACTATTGAGTAGAGGTTATGTTTACCATCTTCGGTTTGAACGCAAATAGAGCGATATATTGTGGAGCCAGCGCGCGATTCTTCCTTTGTGATGCGCGTGCTTTCTTCTTGCCTTTCGCTCTCGAGACAGAGCATTTTGTCTTTAAGAACGGTATTTTCACTCATGACCCGAGACAGTTCTTGTCGTAAAAACGCAAAATCGCTGTCTACAATTTTGCATATTTCTTCTATTGCCGTTTTAGTCATTATCTCCATTATGGAGCTTACTTGCAAGCGAAATGATATAGATTTGGACATCTTTTAAGACTCGCGATTTTTTGGTTAGCATGCAAGAAAAAGAAACACTGGCTAAAAAAACGTATGGTGAGTCACCGAAAAAATAATTCCAAATTGTGGAACTTGGTACTGTGCAAAAACCGGAAATAAAGTGTACGAAAGAAGCCCTCGGCTTTTATCTGGCCGCAGAATATCGTTAGCTTCCGGTTTGTGGTAGACTTTGTCCTGCACTCAAATCCTCATACTATCCGTCCTATGAAGTTTCTGACATAAGATTTAGTGTGTAAGATATAGATGAGATCATATCTCAAATTATAGTATCTAAAAGAGGTGCACATCAGGATGATTTACTATTTCCTGGATTTTGTCGAAGTGTAAATGCTCCCCCCCCTCGCTAATATGGCTTTCTAATAATATTGCCCTCAACTCTCACAAGACGGAGGAGGAGGCGAAACGATAATAAAAAGTTCCCCCATTTATTGTTTATTGCAAAGAAAAAACAACTGCAGTTGAAATACAAAGAAGGGAAAAGGAAAGGGGAAAGTACAGAGATAAACAGAGGAAATAAGTACAAAAGATAAGATCATAGTCCTTAAAGAGTGTTATCCTTACTATTATTTATGAGTTTAAGAGATTTTACAGTATGGTAATTTTCTGAAAGAAAGACATAAAATCTAGAGAAAGTGTTGGGAAATTTGTTCCTGTGAATAAAAAAAAAATTGCAATGCAAAACAAAGAAAATAACAGTAAGTTATCACAACAGCATGGTTACTGTCAGAAAAATAAAGAAATACATCTTCCAGGAAAAAAGT